AAACTGCTTTAATTTTTAAAAACCAAAAAATAAACTAAGCATTGAATCCTATATTTCAAGCATAGCATGAGATTATTAACACAAAGTAATAAAACCTAAAAAAAAATTTTTTTAGTAGTCATTTCTCATTTCTATTCAATTTTAAAGTATTTCATATACAGATATTTTAGATTCTTTATCAGTCATTCTAATATCTGAAATCCACATCATCCTTGAGAAGTTCTTTAAGACTCCAAACGTCACTTTGCATTGTTCTTAATTTTCCTGTTGGCTCTCATTCACAGCTTTCAGTTTATAACACTAGCAATTTTTTTACCATAGCTCACATTTGTCTGACCTTAATATATGAAAAATGATGATGGCTAAAACTAGAAATGTGTCCCTCTACAGAGGATCTACATTTGTTTCTTATGGAATGAAGTGTTGTAATCAACCAAGGATCATGTTAGCTACTGCTCTAGGTCTCAGTTTAACGTAAAACTCACCAAGTCATTCTTCCATCTTGCTACAACCTCAAAGCCTAGAGTGTAGATCCCATGATTAATATAGATATTTGATCTCAGGGCAACCCCATTTTGTACATCCCTTATAACTCACAAATCTTCACTAGTTTCAACTATGATCTTTAATATGTCTGCATCTGTATATGTATGTATACCCCTCAAAGATTCTTACTTTTTGCAAGCTTGACCGTACATTAAAAATTAAGTTTTTCTAATTTATCTAGAATTTGTTTGCGATGTGGTGACAAGGCCCTTAAAAAAAAAATCAAGTCTTCATGTAAGTAAAAGCAGAAGTCACCTAACCTTTACAAATAAGAGTACTTACTGATAATACCTGACTTGGGAATCCAGCTGGCTTATCCCTATTCCATTTTTTAATCAAACTGAGATGCCAAAGATAAGTTGAACATCTTTCTCATAATATTAAAAAGATTTCAAATTTGGGTTCCTAAAATTTTTCTGAGTTGAGCCTTTATGCTATTATCAAATCATTTCATATGTCTAAAAGTGCAAAAGAAAGCACATTCTTTTTCATAGTCAGAATTCTCATTAGTACTATACCTGCTCAAAATGCTGAACACATTCTAAATTTAGCTTAATGCATCCTACACACATGATTACAAGACTCTGTTCGATGATAAAAATTGCCAGTTTAGAAAATGAAAGTATAATATCTATACTCCCCCACATAGCTAAACTGGCTTAATTCTGCAGATGTGAATCTACAAGCTGTTTTCCACTGTGTGGATCTTGAATAATTAGCAATAATTTGCTAAACTCATTTTTCAGGCAGAGTGCTAAATAGTACTGATCATTATAAAGAGATAGCAGAACTCTTAACTGATTTTAAAGGATATCAAAATTGAACTTCAGTACTTTATATAAACCTAAAGCTTCTCAAAATAAAAATTACTGATTAAAAAAAACTATAGATATTGAACTATGACAGAAGAACAATTATAAAAATTATTTAGCAAATAAAAATACACAATAAGGAATTTTTTTGTAGAAATGTAACAAGTTGGCAAGAAAAAATCAAATACAGGAATCCCTTCATAGTTTATAGAGAATTACAGAAATATTGAAAGTAAATGGTTTGAAAATAAAGAAACCTAGAAAATAGATTATTAATTTTCCTACTTCAATAAAATTAACATTGTAACTTTGTTTATATTTCATATTATAAATCAAGGAGAAATAACCTATTAATTTAACTTTCAGTGAAATTCAAATATAGACTTCTGGAGGCTCACCTGAGCCCAGGAGTTTAAGACAGCCTGGGATACACAGTGAGATCCCCATCTCTAAAAAAAATAAACAAATGAAATTACACGAATTTAAAAATCTGCTTTAGGAAGACTCCAATGTAAAAAAGATATGTGCCAGTAATGATCACCCCAGGAATAAAAGCATTAATTTCTAAGCAAATGTCAACTAAACTGGCAATTTACATTAAAATTTATATGTAGGCATAAGTAGGTATGTGTGTATTGCATATGAATATATTCTTAGTCTTTGAAAAAGCAATCTTTACTGATTTTATTTTAACAAGAAATTTTTTAAGTAAATGAAATGGGTAAATGTGTAAATAAAATGAAAGTATATGCACCTATTCCCAATAATCATTTTTAATCAGTAATGGTTCATATGCTTTTTTTTTGAGTCAAAGTTTCATCTGTAACCCAGGCTGGAGTGCAATGGCAAGATCATAGCTCACTGTATCTTTGAACTACTGTGCTCAAGCAATTCTTACACCTCAGTCTCTTGAGCACTTAGGTCTACAGGTATGTACTACCATGTCTCACTATGTTGCCCAGGATAGTCTCAAACTCCTGATCTCAAAGGAGCCTCCCACCTCAGTCTCCCAAAGTGCCGTGATTACAGGCATGGGCCATTTCACCTGGACTCACACACATTTCACATCTGACCAACACATGTTGCCATTGTTCATTCATGACTGTTGACAATATTGATTAACATGTTTTTATGATAATAATTGATTAACATGTCATTAATTGTTGACAATAATTGATTAACATATGTTTTTATATTAAAATTCTGCCCAAAGAATAGTATCACAATCACAAACATAAACATCTTAAATGGCACTATTACTTTTTATTTTTAATCTTTCTTTTAGACTCTCCTGATTTCAATGGTTTCATTATAATTGTTCCTATATGTATTGTTTGCATAATATTAAACTGTTAAAAAGGAATAAAAAAACATTCAAAATATTAGATAGCAAAAGCTTGAAATAAGGCCACTGCACATAAAGACTAAATGGATTCATTTGTACAGAAAGATAGTCAAAATAAGAAGAACAAACAAATGAGTTGTTCAGTTGTACAGTTGTTTGTCTGTAAATATGAAGTCCTGATATTAGTTATCTCATTCACTAATAAGTGCAAAAACTTAGTGACTATACAAATTGGCAAAAATATCTTTTATTTTTTATTTTTTCTTGAGTTGGAGTCTCACTCTGTCGCCCAGACTGGAGTGCAGTGGCACATTTCCGGCCACTGCAGCCCCGACCTGCTGGGCTCCGGCGATCCTTCCGCTTCAGCCTTCCAAGTAGCTGGAACTACAGGCATGCGCCTGGCTAATTTTTTTTTATTTATTGTAGAGATGAGGTCTTGCCAAGTTGCCCAGGCGGGTCTCGAACCCGCAGGCTCAGGCAATTCACTCACTCAGCCTCCCAAAGCGTGGGATTACAGGCTGAGCCACCAAGCCCGGCCAGCAAAAACAACATATTAAAAACAACTGAAAGCCATGTAGAAAGCAGGGTAAAGTAAGTAGATATGTACTAATGAAAGTACAAGAGGAGACCCAAAAAAACCCAGAAGTTATTTATTAAAAAATTGTGTATTTCTTCTTACATGTTTAAACTTCAGTCACCTTCAAAGTGCTCTCTGTTTGATGCAATACACCTATCAAGATGCTTTTTCCACTGCTCCAACAGTTTTTGAAGTCAATTTGATGCCTTTTAGTGCTTCTGCCATTTTTATTGTTTCACCTCTTCCACATCAGCAAAACATTTCTCTTTGAGAACTTTTTTTCATCCAGGGAAATTTTTTTAAAAAGTTGTTTTGGGTGAGAGCAGATGAGTAGGGAGGGTGGGACATGGAGGGGGTCATGCCATTTTTGGTCAAAAACTGCTGAACACCAGTGTGGTGTGGGGAGGTGTGTTGTCATGGTAGAAGAACAACTCAGGATGTTTCTTCTGCAAATTGTGACACAACCTTCTGAAAACTTCCAGATAAAAACTTTGGTTGACTGTTTAACCTGCAGAACAAATTCCAAGTGCGCTACAAGAGGCCTGCCCTCCAAAAGATAATTCTGGGGTTTTCAGGGGTCCTCCTTCATATATATGAGTTAACATAATAGGTCTGAGATAGCAAGATTGATCCTTGGTTGGCATCTGAGAAATTTTGAGAGGGACTCCATTCACTGTACCTAAACTGTTTGTACAAACAATGTGGTTTATATTAAACACCTGCTTTTCTACTGAGAGTCTAGAATTTTGGTATGTCTTGGGTATTAACTGACTCCAGAAAACCCTGAACTCATATGCTCAAGATGAGCTTCCCCAGGAGACATTTCATGCATGCTATCACAACTTGCTGCTGGAGGAATTAAGGGGGTCATGTGCATCTCCAGTGGGAAAGGCTCTTGGAAGTTTGTACCCTGGCTTTCTCTGGATCTGGCCCTGTGCACCCTTTGCCATCTGCTGATTTTACCTCATATCCTTTCACTGCCAGAAATCATGACCTTGAATATAACTGCATGTTGGGTCCTGTCAGTCATCTTAATAAATCAACAAGCTTGAGGGGTGGTTTTGGAGACTCTCAGTATAATATATAAAATATTTAAAATTGTAGACTCACAAAGGAATCTGCCTGTATCATAGTGCTGGACACTAATAGAATGCTTTTCTTTGGAGCACTAGAGATTGGAACTGAATGACAAATAGAATAGTTATTCTATTACCCATTATCAAAAATACATCAAAATTAAGGAATAAATGTAGAATCAGAGATTCCTATGCAAGCAAGGAATTAAGGCCCATGAGGCTAGCAGATTGGTAGATAACAGGAGGGAGTTCTTAGAATATGGAAAATGACTACAAACAAAATCAATAGCTTACAGTGAACATATTATGACAATTACTTAAATTTCTTATTTATAAAAAATTTTCATCATATTCTCTAATGGAACATTAAAAAAAATTTACAAGCTATCATTTATATGACAAAATGGGAAATTAGTATATGCATTTCAAAAATTAGTCTATAACTAGTATAACTGCCAGCATCTACTCCATAAACAGGCTCAATTATATTTATATTGCAAAGAAAATTTATAGCTGTCAGGAAATACATGCTCTATAGCCATTTGACATGTAGCCACTCTGTAAGGTAGCAAAATAAATTATGCTGGCTCATAACTTTCTGCTTTCTACAGGAAAGATATAAAAATATTTTCATTTAAACTTACCTTAACTATTTCTTCAATAAAACAAATGTGAGAAACAGGATCTCTCTTCTTGGCTAATACTTTTTGTAGATGTTGTACCTTAAAGGAAACAAACATAAAGCTTAGGCTCTAAAAAAGGCAAGAGAAGAGAAGTGCATTATGCGACAGACTTTACACATGTTATCATCAGCTAATAGAGGTACTTTGAAGGTCCAGAGATTTTTAAAGGCCTGCCCAATATCATATAACTTGGAATAACCAGGAGTGAATCCATATTAATGTTCTTTCTACTCCTTAAAATATTTACCTGTCCACAAACAGCACAAATATAATTCATAAGTTTCTCCATATTGGTCCACAGAGAAGCACGGAAAGCAGCAGTATTTCCTGGGGTTGGCATGGTAGATCGTCCAGGACCCCCTGGTTATGATTGACAAAGAAATATGAAAAATAAATGTTCCAAATGCAATAAAACATGTTTGTTATGAAAAGCATTAAAAGGTATTAATTCCCTAATAAATCAGGACTCACTGGAGAAAAATGATTCCATATCTGAAGCAGTGAAAAAACAAGGTGAAACTTGTACACACTGTGCCAGTGAGCAACAGAGTTAGAAGATTTTCAAAAGGACACATGAACTTGAATGCAGAGGTTGTCCACAAAACAAATTTGGGAACATTTGACCATTTAGAAGAATACTGATGATAATAGATTATAAAACAATGATTAAAAAATTAATTCATGAGTTTCTTTAAGAAATAATTTCTTATGAATGAAATAAAAAAGAATCTGAAACTTTTGTGTTAAGGTTAACCAACCAGATAAAATGAAGATGAATGAAAATGGTTTCCTACAAGGGGTGTAAGAACGGTGGGAAACAAACAAGCTGAAATGCATAGGGACAGAAAGTAGTCTTACTCTGTTTCTACTATCTTCATGCCATTTGTAGAAAACCATTTTTATTAATTTCCACTGTATACTTCCTAGGGTTGTGGGGAGTGTGTGTGTGATGTCCCTTTCTTTCTTTAAAAAAAAAATCCTAAAACTGAATACAAACAAATACAGAAACAAATGAAACTAACTGTACATCAAATTAATAATACAACCACACAGGCGAAAAACTATTAATTCAATAAATTTTAAATAACAGAATGCTGACTTTAGTGAGATATATCTTATGGACAAAAAAATTACAAAGAAATATTGAACTTTACTTAATAGATTTGGTGCTGGATACAGTATTGATTTAGTAATCCTAAAACTAGTTTAGGTATATTTTAGAATCAAGCAAATTAAGGTTCTTACTGTAAACAGACTACAGATACAAATATATAATAGGGATTAGAGGTATTTCCCAACTCTGTCCACTGAAAAGACAGAAACACAATGATTCCTCAATAGTAATAAGCACGCCTAACACCCAAATTTGACTTCAAGCACCATTCCTTAATAAAAAACAAACAAATCAGGACTCAATGGAGAAAAATGATTCCATATCTGGAGCAGTGAAAATACAAGGTGAACCTAATACATACTGTGCCAGTGAGTAACAGACAGAAGACCTATGGAGCTTTTCAAAAGGACATGTGAACTTGAATACAGAGGTCATCCACAAAACAAATTTGGGAACATCTGACCATTCAAAATAATACCAATGGTTATAGATTATAAAACAATGATTAAAATATTAATTCATGAGTTCATAGTGACATGCAAATATTTTAAAAGGATAAGAATTGCTCTTTATAAGAGTGCTGTTATTTTTTTAGTCTGACAATAGTGGAAAGCAATAAGAAAGAGAAATCTAAGAGAAAGATGTTGGCTTTAAAAATATGAATAGTTCCTTTTTGAAATCTGGATCAAATTAAATTTTTTTTTTGAGCTGGAGTCTCACTATGTTGCCCAGACTGGAGTGCAGTGGCACGCTCCTGGTCACTGCAGCTTCAACTTGCTGGGCTCTGGCGATCCTTCCACCTCAGTCTTCCAAGTAGCCGAAACTACAGGCATGCGCTACCACACCCAGCTAATTTTTTATTTATTGTAGAGACAAGGTCTCGCCAAATTGCCTGGGCAGGTCTCGAACCCACGGGCTCAGGCAGTCCACTCGCCTCGGCCTCCCAAAGTGCTGGGATTACAGGCTGAGTCAACGAGCCTGGCCTCAAATTAATTTTTAAAATTATTCATAATGTTATGCAAAGACTATTAAGGGAAGGCATACAGGGAATAGAGAAATAATACTGTAACAATCGCAGTTATCCCATATGTTAAATAATGAACTCATAACAGTGAGAAAAGGGCATGTAGTGTCTCTATGAATACTAGAAAAAATTAATCAAATTCCTGCAACATATGTGGCTTGGCTTTATTATAAAGAATGAGATGAATTAACCTATTACTCTCAAGTAAATACAATTTTATATTTACTTTGGTAAAACTGAGACACAGGAGAGGAGATCACAATCAATGATTCAACTAGTTCTAGAGCCCTGATTTTTCTTAATTGCGGTCCATAAGGATTTTTATCCTCATTAGCAAAATATATCTTGTCAAAGATATAAACATGTTAGACATAATCAACTGGCTGAACATAGAACTGCTTCACAAAGAAAGGGTAGGAAGAACAGAACACGGAAAAACAAATGCCATTATCAGTTAGCTTTAACAGGTCCAAGAAACAAAATAAACAGTGTCATAAACTAAGTTTTATTAAAGTGACAAAAGAGGGTAAGAGTTCCTCAAATAAATAATACTTGAGATTGATATCTAGTCAATGATAGCAGAATAAAGTCATTTTCCTACTCACTTCCTTTGAAAGCCAATGAAAAAACAAACAAAAGGTAGAAAAAAGTCAACTTCAAAAATAAAACAAGGAGTCAGATAAAATAAAACCACAAGCTTGAGATTATAAAGTATGCAGGTCAAATGCTGTAGATAAAACAAAATGAAAAAGGAACCAGATAAGTGACACCTTAGATCATTAGCAAGACATAAAGTGCTCTTAAGATCAAATATAAGAATTTGGACAGGCTATCCAACAATTATTTGATTAGAGCTGAGATTTACAGACACAGATGGGCCAGGGACTGTTCAATACTGAAGAATGAAGAAAAAGAAAAGCTGAAGGAAAACTAAAACAAAATGATTTTTACATTGTTTAAGAATTAGCTGCTGGGCTCGGTGGCTCCGCCTGTAATCCCGCGCCTTTGGGAGGCTGAGGTGAGTGAATTGCCTGAGCCCGCGGGTTCGAGACCCGCCTGGGCAGCGAGACCTCATCTCTACAATAAAATAAAAAAATCAATTGGGCGTGGTAGTGCATGCCTGTAATTCCAGCTACTTGGAATTCCACAACCGGGCGTGGTAGTGCATGCCTGTAATTCCAGCTCCACCGGAGCCCAGCAGGTAGAGGCTGCGGTGGCCGGGAGCAGCCACTGCACTCCAGTCTGGGCAACAGAGACTCCAACTCAAAAAAAAAAAAAAAAAGAATTAGCCCTGGTAGCTGGGCTTGGTGGCTCAGCTTGTAATCCCGCGCCTTTGGGAGGCTGAGGTGAGTGGATTGCCTGAGCCTGCGGAGTCGAGACCCGCCTGGGCTCGAGACCTCATCTCTACAAAAAAATCAAAAAATCAGCCGGGTGTGGTAGCGCATGTCTGTAATTCCGGCTACTTGGAAGGCTGAGGCAGAAGGATCGCCAGAGCCCAGCAGGTCAAGGCTGCGGTGGCTGGGAGTGGCCACTGCACTCCAGTCTGGGTGACAGAGTGAGACTCCAACTCAAAAAAAAAAAAAAAAATTAACCCTGGAGTTTGGGGATATGACTGAAGGTAGAGTGAGATGAAAGAAGGTGGACAAAGCTGAGGATGCTAGGCTTCAACATAGAAATTGTTTAAATAACTTTATTGGGAGCCACATTAAGCTCTTAAATGGTTCAAAATTTGAGCAGAGATACCCAAGGCAAAAGGAAATAACCAGTTGGTGAATGGTTATCATACACAACAAACCTAAATTAAACTGCAGACTGCCCACGCCTCTCCCTACAACCATTCCCACACCATTCTTCAATGACTAGTCAGTAATTTCAATGATGAACAATAATCACAAATCAAGTAATAAAGGACTTACCATCGGTACTGGGGAGTAAGGTGAGGAGGAGGAGGAAGGGAACATAAGCTTTAGCTTTAGCAATGATGAACACAGGTCACCAAGAAAACAACAAAAAGGAATGCTGTTTTTTACTATCTCAAAGTAATTACTGAAAACCTACTCACTGGAAAATTATTAGAGAGATCAAGATCATATTAGAAACAACAAGGCTGGGATCGGTGGCTCAGCCTGTAATTCCAGCACTTTGGGAGGCTGAGGCAAATGGATTGCCTGAGTCTGTGGGTTTGAGACCAGCCCAGGCAACTTGGTGAGACCTTGTCTCTACAATAAATGAAAATTAGCTGGGCATAGTTGTGTGCGCCTGTAGTTCCTGCTCCTGCTACTTGGAAGGCTGAGGCAGAAGGATCACCGGAGCCCAGCAGGTCGTTGCTGGGGTGGCCATGAGCGTTCCACTGCACTCCAGCCCTGGGCAGGGGAGTGAGACTCTAAGTCAAAAAAAGAAGAAAGGAACAACAAAAAATTTTAATGAACAAAGGTGAAAACAAAGAAAGATATAGGAAACAAGCAAAAGGAAATCATAAAAAATGAATTAAAATGCAAATATATAAAAATTGTTATGGAGAAGAAGAACTTCCAGTTTCAAAATGGTGACAGAAAAGCAAGCTGGCTTCATTCCCTCCACAGAAAATCAAAAGCAAACATATAGCTTTTAGATTATCACCAGCATTATCCCAGAACTCAAATATGAGGTATGAGACAGTCCCAGGGCCACAAAGAAGCAAGAAAACTCTAAGCAAATGGTAAGAGAATCAGATTTCCACCACCAAGCTTGACAAAATACCAGACACAGAAAACAAAGAAGATCTGATACACGTATAATTAAAGTTCTTGAAAAGAACAAATGGAACAGAAAAGCGTTCAATATATAATAGAAAAAAACATTTCTATAAAAAGAACATACCCTAACTCAGAAAAAAAATTGATACAGAATATTCAACCCCAAGATATAGCCTAATGTAGTTACTATACTTCAAAAATAAAAAAAGAACCAGTTAGGCATCTAAGAAAAAGCAAGTCAAGCTATGTGGGGGATAAAAGTCTGATTAGCCTCAGAATTCTCCAATACAACGCTAAAACTCAGTTAGTTGGTAGAGCGATGTTTGATGCCAGATGGGTTCCTCCATTTCCCTGTCCTCAACTTTCATATGAGTCTTCAGTTAAAGTAACTTTCTTGCCTTCTCTACCTCTTATTCAACCCTACCCACATGAAAAGAAGTGACTTACCTGATTAGTGAATTTAAGTAAGAAACTGGGCCTAATGGAC